TCCAGCGAAGTTCGGGCTGGGGGGCCAGCACCAGACCCACTGGGCTCAATGACCTTTCAGGAAGAGCCTTCCTGGCCCAAGGGCCAGAGCAAAGGCCGACGATGGCTTCTGGGGGTGCCCAAGAGGCGCAGATGATCGTCGACAACGCTGGCTCTTCAGACTCGGGCCTCGAGAGCGGCTGCGCGGCTGCTGCTGCCGCTGCTGCCGAGGCCCGTGCTCGCCGCGACAGCTACCAAGGGCCCTGGGGAGTTGGCCGTGGTGCCCATGTGCTGGAGAGTGAAAAGCTGGTGGCCCCGCCATGGAAGGATGCGAAACACAAAATCAGTGCCATGGTGGAGGGATTGGAGCGTCAGGTCCGGCACAACGAGTCCGCCTTGCCATACGATGCGACAACCTACCATGCAGTGTGTGGCAACGTTTGCTTCAACGCCCCAAATTACAGGAAGATCTGCCGGATGCATCAAGATATCCTTTCGTTTTATCCATCTGCTGATGTATGTAGCATGTTCTTAGTCACCTGCGAGGGGTCGCTCGGCAAGGCGGCGACGCCCTTCATGGTTTCATTGCGGTACAAGAGGCCTGCTGAATTTATGGCGGTGATTTTTGATATTGTTGCAGGGACGACTGACAAAGATCTCCAGAGTGGCGCGAACTTACCATGGAGGTTGCAATTCAATGTCGCTGATGCTGGCAATGCTGGCGACGGCCACTGTCGGCTGAACATTATGGAAGGCGCACGACTCATGGACCTCATTTGGGAACAAACCCAACTTCTAGGCGTCGAGAGCGTGAAGATTCAACCGTTGGAGTTCTCTGCAGTTGCTCCGAATGTAGTCGAGGTTTTGTCTGCAAACAAATCCCGACTGATCCTGGCCAGACCTGTCCTGGGTCTAGAATCTACAGCGGCAGCATGTTTTTTCCCGGAAGCGGCGCCGGCCCAGGGTATTCTTTTAGTTGGTAAACCTGTCCCCGGTGCCTCAACTGAGGTGGGCCGGCGGATTCTTTCCTTAATAAATATCGAGGTCGAGGTGGGCCGGCGGATTAAAATTTGAGGATACCTCGGGCGAAACGCTTGTTTTTGGAATCCCGATCGATAAATCACAGGGTGCGGGCCACTCTTTCGTGTGTTGAGGATGTCTCGAGCGAAACGCTTGCTCCGCAGAGTTACCGAGGATGTCTCGGGCGAATCGCTTGTTTTGTAGAACTTGAGGGATCTGGGCGCACGAGAGATTTGCCTTCTCCAGGTGCACGAACCCGTGTGTTTTTACGTATGTGCCTGTAGATTTGCCTTCTCCAGGTGCACGAAGCCATGTGCTTTTACGTATGTGCGTATAGATTTGATTTCTCCAGGGGCGCGAATCCGTGTGCTTTTACGTGTGTGCCTACAGATTGGCCTTATGGGGCGCGATCCACCCCCCAGCACGACCACCCCCCAGCACGACCACACCCCAGCACGACCACTCCCCAGCACGACCACACCGCCTTGGTTGAGTGGTTGCCTGTCGTCGTGGAATGTTTCGTGGGGTGTCTCGTGGACTGTTTCGCGGGGTGTCACGTGGAATGTTTCCAGGAAAACGTTGAAAACGGTCGCCCGTGTCTCGTGGAATGTTTCGCGGGGTGTCTCGTGTAAGTGCCCGTCGCCCAATGCGGTGTCTTGAAAACGTTTCCATGCATGCGGTTCTATATTTGTCTATATCATATCCCTTTCCGGGTTTGTGGGTCCATCATGTTTCGCCGCCCTGATCGTGGGCCCAGGGCAGGCCTGATCAGGATGCACGTGGGTGGTTTGTTGCAGTTTACCAGAGGTGAAGGCTCTGGGCAGCACTAAAATGTTATTATCGCAAGCATTAGAAGATTTGACTGAACTTACGGAGGGCGCAACTGGCGACGACATAAGTGCTGCCATGGGTGATCTTGGGAGTCTTGCCAATGATGCCCGGAAGGAACATCGCGGCGACAAGGCCTCCGCCTCCGCGTCCAAGAAGAGCTATCAAACTAAAACCGTTTTTCTTGACCTTGGCACAGGGTCGACTGCTCCAGTCGGTGGCGGTCCCGGGGGCGACGACGTCGACGGCAGCGGCGATGAAGTAGAGTATTTGACAGAGAAAGCTGTGTCCAAGAATGCCAGAACTCAGATTAAGGCCATGGCCAAACAAAATGTTGATGAGCTGGGTGGTCTGGGCAGTGGGCATGTCGAGGCCGACGATGACGACAGGGAGGTGTCTTTGGTGGAGCTACTTGGCACGCTTCAGGGGACTGGCGCCCCAGCAGGGCCAGGTGGCGCCTCTGGCGGCGGCGGCGGCGGCAGTGGTTCAGGCGGCGCTGGCGCCCCAGCAGGGCCCAGTTGCGCCTCTGGGAGTGGCGGCAGCAGTGGCTCCGGCGGCGCTGGCCCCCCGATAGATTCGTCTGCCTGGGCGCTATTCGACCAATGCATCAGGCCAGACCCGCACAATGGGCGACGCATGATTGTTGTTGGGGACGGGTGCATCTTCGGCACGTTGCAGCCTGTGAATTCTGACGAAGGTCTTGGGCCTCGGGTTTTGAATCGTGTCTTATCGGCATGTAACCCCCACCCAGGCCCTGCCTTATCCCCGCCCCAAGCAACATGATAAGCAATTGCATGGGCACTGTGATTATACTATATACAATATACAGGCATACGTACATACATGCATGCAAACATACATACCCACACACCTGATCTCATACATACATACATACAGACTACATGCACACATACACATACCTACCTACCTACCGACCTACCTACCTACATACATACCTACATACCTACATACATACATACTTTCATACTTACAGACTTACATGCATACACGCATTACATACTACATGCAATACAACACATAATCAACACATAACATTCATATGATAACACATCCGGGAACCCATGGACCCCAGATTGCTCGGGGGGCAGGCGGGCAAAATCCGATAGGCCGATAGGCTTCACAGTGGGCAGATCCCCGGCAGCATCCCCCCCAGGGAGTCAGGAGCCAGGAGGGGGGAGTCTAGAGTCTAGAATGAGGAGGATGTGGGGGGATGCAAGCAGGATGGATGTCTCCTGGATGACAAGTCAAATGAAGAAATATGGAAGAGGAGTGGGGGTAGAATGGACCCCGATCCCAGATCACCGATCCCGGACGCGAAGGACGCCGCCAGCCCTCAGCCCCTGATTAGACTCTGGCGCTCTCAGGGCCACAGGGCCCTGCAAGGACTTCAGGAGCTCGGGAGTCCCAGCATTGGTGGTCCTGTCCCTCTCAACTTACTCGTTGCTCTCCGTTGCGAGCCCTTACTCCTCCCCATCCAATCCTTCTCCTCCCTGACACTCTGCGAAATAGAGTTGTAAATCTCAGGCCGCTGTTCACCTCATTGCCCTCCCACTCTCCTTGTCCTTATCCTAGTCCTCATCCTTCTCTGCTTCTTCCGCCCCTTCCCATCCCTTCCTCGCGATGGTATTTCAGTTGGCAATGTCATGCGTCCTCTCGGCAAAGGCTGGGGCCCACCTGCGGGTTCATGGGTGGCGGGCCAGACCCTAAACCGGGATTTCGCATTGCAGGAGAAACGCTTTATCTGCACGCGCTCGCACCGTGAGCCAGACCCGAAACCAGGATTTAGCATGGCCAGAGAAACGAACTGTTGAGACATTTAGAGAGGAACCGCCCCGTTCTTATCCTCTATCTACACATCCCACCCTTCTATCTACTATCGAGCCTTCTGAATAACTTGAACCCTTCTCTCCACCTGCTCCTTCCCCTCGTCGCCCTCCCCCTCCTCCGCCTCCTGACGCGCTTGCCGAACCAAGAGGCCCATACCGGGTTTATGCGACCTGCCGTCACGGGAGCCACAAGGCCCAGAAGGGCCAGTGCACCAGAGGGAGGCAGTGGAAGCTCAACACAGGGGAGCCGATTGAGATGGTACATCGGAACTGGCAAAATGGCTTCTGGATTCTGGCAAATACGCTTCCAAGACGCTGCACATGGAAGCACCCAGATATTGAATCGAGGTGGGCCGGGCAAGGAGGGCCCGCGCAGACGCCAGGAGCAGTGGGGAAAGGGAGAACAACAAAAAACAAAGGAAAGAGGAGGGGGTGAGGGGAGGAGTGCAGGAGGAAAAGACGGAGGAGGCGGATGAGAGGATGTAGAATGACTCCTCTCTCTCTCTCTCTCACTGTCGCTCTCTGTTGCTCGCGTTTTGCATGGCCATCTCTCGCTGCAGTTCGCCCAAATTGTGAGGATGGGCCTGCCAAGGTAACCCTTGCATCCTTCCCCCCAGGCCAATCTTGGGCCGATTTCGCTGGCCGCGCCCCACTCGAAAAATACAGACGTGGCCTTGCAAGGCCCTTGCATTCTTATCGGCTTATCGGGATGACTGTGTCTGCATTTGTACTTATCTCTCTGGGTGGCTGCGAATACATTTGATTTGAATGGGTAGGGCAGGTTGTCGGCTCCGCGTCGGCGCTGTGCGCGGCTCTGCTCGCTGGTTGCGCCGGCCTGGGCGCGGCTGGGCGCAGCTCTGCTGGCGCTGCTGGGCGCCGCGCGCTCCTGGGCGTGGCCGGGTGCTGCTCTGCCGGCGCTGCTGGGCGCCGGGCGCTGCTGGCCGCTGGGCGCTGGCGGGCGCTGGGCGCCGTGGACTGGGCGCGTGGCCGCGCAGAGCAGGCCAGCGCGAGCGAAGAATAATAGCCGCGTTCATTGCGGCAGAGTGCGGTGAATCAGCTTCTCCCCCTTCCACCATCTGCATCTCCTGGCCTGATCCGTCCGGTTGCTCACTCTGCGCTTGAGCTGAGGAGGGGCGCCTGCCATTTTGGCAGCGGGGACGGCCCGTGACCCAGCGCCCAGCGCGCCCGCCCCAGACAGCGCTTGCACCCGGGCACTTTGGACTTTGGCTATGGAGTCCTGTTCCCACTGTTCACTGCCTTCTGGTTTGGGCTCCTACGCGCGTCGCCCCATCAGAAATCTGGCGCGAGGAAGAGGGGGAGGTGCAACCTTGTCCTTTGCCTTTGTCCTTTGCCCTTTGCATTGCGGCCACTGTCCTGGGCGGGGGGCAGCCGCGGGGGGCAAGAAGGGGGGGGGGCTGTTATACATATATATATATATATATATCAGTAATTTATAGAGGTAGCAGAAGGGTAGACCAGCAGGATGGAAACGAACGTGGGACAGATGACGCATGGACGGGCGGGGAGGAAACTATGGAAGAGGAGGGGGCGGGACAGGGGAGGTGGAGGAGGGGGGCTGAGGTTTCGGCCCAGCCCAAGTGGCGTGGGAAAGAAGGAGGAGGGGGGAGGAGGAAGAGAAGGGAGGACGACGCGCGGTGCTTGCGCTCCAATGCTCGGGTGCGTGCGTGATGCCTTACTACTCCTTATTCGTCCTCCTGTCCTCCCCCTCCTTGCGACCCCTGCTCATTCCTTGTGGTATCCATGGCACCTCTGTCTATCCAACCCGTTGGCTAGGCGTCTTGGGCCCTCCTGCATTGACCACGCGCGTGCAGTCCTCTGTGCTTTGGGACCTCCATGCATTGACAACGCGCGAACATGGCGTCTTGTTCCCGGCCGGGTCCGCTGAGAAACCCATGGCCCATGGCTCATGCTGGATGCATGGGGCCAGGGCATTCGTTGCTCATGACTCATGATGCTGCAGTCGCCGTTGCGCGTCAGTACAATCTGTTCTGGAATATTCGGAATAGTCATGTTGTATATATTGTTCATCATCCTTACAGTGTGCACCATGCTACCATGCTGCCGACCCGGGATCCCCCTCTTCCCCCCCAGCCGCCACATACAAGTGCACATGAATGAGGATGCGATGGACTGTGCGTGGCCTGTGGTCCTATAGTCCTGTGTTACCAGCGAATGTTATATGTATGTACATGTATGTATAAATATATAGATATGTATTTTTCTTGTTGACCTTATAGCTTGTGCTATTGCGGCGTGTGCTGGTGTCCACTCTGCGTCTTGATAATAACCCACCATACCATACGTATTGTATCACCCCACTGCAACATATCGTAACTTAGGTCAAACCGTTATTGTTGTTCAATATCGCTACCTAGATAAATACATATATATATATCATGATCATCATCATCATCCTCATGCCCATCCTCATCATCATCCCCACCACCATCATCATCATCATCATCATCATCATCATCATCATCATCATCATCATCATCATCATCATCATCATCATCATCATCATCATCATCATCATCATCATCATCATCTTAACATGCCATCATCAAGCACCTCATTACTTGGATGCTCATGGCGGTTCCTTAGCACATAGCTCAGATAGTTATGGTTGCTAGCGCCGTACGCTGCTTAGCTAACCTAGATGTAATGAGGATAATTAACCACCTTACGAAGTGGTTTCGCATGGAGTTTCTAACCTGGTTAGCTGCACGAGCTAACCTGTTTAGGGTGGTTGCGGTTAACTAGGTTAGCGAGGTTGCTAACTGTAGGATTCGGGATCAACCAAGTGGGATTGTGCATTGTATCCTATTGTTTTTTTTTCAAATGTTGCCCCCATCTGGCCCAGAATATGTCAAGTGTTCTGCGAAAACCTGCGTTGTTATAAGCGTACTTGTCGACATGGGGCAGGCAGACATAGCAAACGAGAGCTCAGTATTTGAAAAGGCTCAGCCCTCCATCCGTGAAGCTTCTGCACGTTTTCACATTTTTTGGGAGGCGCTGGACGTCTCAAGCGAAGGCCCTATTTTTGCAAAAGGGAACCGCCCTCCCAAGGACAGGAGGATGAGATAGAGGAATGATAGGTTCAAGCTGTGCCCTTATCGATGTCACTCAGCCGTACGCTTCCCCTACCTGAGCCTACCTGGAACGAGAACCTCGCATGCCGTTCCCTCGGGAACAGTCCTAAACACGCACGGCTCGATGATGAGCCTTGTCTGGATCAAGGTGGGGGCATACTGGACTATACATTTTACGCTGATCTCATCACTGTCAAAGGCGTGCCATTGTGTTACGCACGTGTACACATGTTCTCCAACCTGAATGTGAAACTGAACCTTACCATATAATACTGCACCATCGGCTCCAAAGTATGCAACGACATCGTCCACCACAACAACCCTGCTCTGCACTCGGGCAGAGTTTGAAGTCTTGATTGGCATAAGGGGGCTCACACACATACCACAGGCGGCAACGGCATCTCTGAGTGTTTGTTTAGCTTCCAGCTGGTCCACCAATCCATCACCAACTATAGGCTCACGTAACTTGTACAATTGGTGAACCGTTGTCTCTTCAAGAAGTCCCAACTCGTAACCTCGCGTATTGTGGCGATCATCTGCGTATCGTTTGAACAGCTTGTGTTTTCTTTCCATGAGGTGCGTAGAAAGCAAACACCCATGGCGGAGCAGTTGTGACGGCAAGTGGAGCGTAGTGCGGGTCTTTGGAAGCCACACCTCGAGTTCGTAGGCTGCTTTCAAGTTCACCAGATGCGTCGAAATTGCAGCTCCGAGAGCTGCAGCGCTGACAACTCCTGTATTGACCAAAGAGAGGAGACGAGAAACAATGCACAACGAAATGCCGCTTGCCACTTCTTTCTCGCAGAAGCCTGCAGGTCCGACTACAGAGACCAAGAATTTTTCAATGACAGGGGCGCACGACTGTTGCTCACTGGCGTTCCCACTCGGAAGGAAGTCATTCCTTTTCGAGCACACGTTGGCGCCTGATGCATAGCCTTTGGGCCACACCCAATGAGAGAGGTACTCGCTGAACTCTTTACCACCCAATCGATATGGCGCCAGGCGGGTAAACAATGCTCTTGCCTCCACAGTAAACACACCGCCTTGGAAGTAAGTGTGTAACCAATCCCACGCCCATACATCTGCTAAGTTGACGTCGAGGTCGCGGTCCTGGAGTACACCAGTGGGGCAATACAGAAATCCGAATAGCACTTGCTTGTTATCAAGCTCCTGCTTGTCTCCTGCCTCTGCCAATTGCTTCAGGCGCATCTGTATACCAGTGATACTAGCATGAGTGTGAGGCCTGAACTTTGTGATGTCGACCTCGTCGCTAGAAGCAAGGAAGCCAGTGCTGTCGGGGAGCAGGTGGCTCCAGTAGGAGCAAGCGTTCTGACACAAAGCGCACAGTTTGTGTCCTGCCACGCCTTTCACCGCGAATCCAAATTTGTGTGCCCTTTCATCTTGCACGACTATCGAAAGAGAGCCGACCACAAATCGAGGGTTATCTTCGCCAATGTCCAGATGGACCCCACTCCTGAGGTCAGCTTGATCTGGCCGTCCGAAGAAAAGCTTGAGGCAGTGTTTCATCAACTCTGCCATGCCACCTTGAAGTTTGTTCACTATGGTGGAGCGCGCCCCAGTGACCGCGAACCAGCACTCTTCGTGGCATAGTGCTGGAAATCCGAATTCACGTACTGACCAGTAGAATGATTCAATGCGCCGTTGGTTCTTCTCTGCCAGCGGATTGCCTGGCGTGATCTCGTCTGTGTACGCAATGACGGACAGCTTGTTGCCGTGCGCGTCGAGAGTCTGGCGAAGCAGACGCCCAAAGGAAACGCTCTCGCGGCACGCAACTTCCAACCATCCGAGGGGGTGTTGAAACCAGAGATCTACGCTGCCTCCGCAGCTTGAAGGAAACGTTTGCTTCACGAGAAGAGGTCCGAACGACGTGCTCCTTTGGGCCTCTTTGTGTCGGGCACGCTGCAAGGTGGCCCTGGATGAATGCTCTGGAAGTCCATACCTCCGAACCTGCTCGAGTAGATGTGACAATGCGCTAGCTGACACATGTGCCTCCTGGCCGTAATCGGTGATACGAATTTTCTTTGTGTCTGGAGCCATGCGCAAGCTGAACAGTTCGAGCCAAAATGGTTACGCACCCGCCCCCCGTAGCTGTTCTGATACCCTTGCGGTCTTGACCGAGAGCGCAGATCCCCCCCGTTCTACACTAAAAACAATAATACCCTCTAATGCTTTCTAAAACACACCCCGCAACCATGCTACTGGACAGACCGCTTGCATCGACTCGCCGTCATCACCATATCATGTAATCATCGTGATCGTCCTTCTCGTGGCCATCTCCCTCCCTCCTCCCTCACCCTCCCCTCAGCTCTATATGTCCTCCCCAATGCGCATAGCATAGCTTGCCCTCTGCCAGTTCCCCCCCAGCTCGACGGGATTGGCGGTTCCAGGCTACAAATGACTCTGGCTGACTGGGGGGGGGGGGGGGGGGGGGGGGGGGGGATATCTTCAGGCCTCCGAAGGCGCATTCACAATTGTTCTGGCAGGGTTGGGGGATTACGAAGATGTGCACCAGAGCTACGCATAAGGACGATAGGGGGAGAAATAACGAGAGAGAGAGAGAGAGAGAGCGAGAAAAAAGAAAGAAGGCGAGGGAAAGTAGGAGGAGGATGCCAAAACGAAACAGACGGATTAGGATGATATGAGCGAGGCGTGAATTTCCAAGTGCGATCATGTGGGGCCATGCCCGCTAACATGTTGCTGCTGCCACGCGCTGACAAACAGAGCGTACTTCACTGCGCGGAGAGACTGAGCGCCAACTATCCCCCAAGCGAGCGACGTCTCTTAGCAGTAGTCCCAACAGTGCCTACCCCCGAAACTCCTAGGCAGAGCATGCATTGGACACCCCAGGAAATACCCCTACATGGGCTTCCCAGCCCACTTCCTCCAGACCTCTTTGGCCTGACCATAAGCAGCTCTAGCAACATCAGTGGCCTGGTCGACGGTGTAAACTTTCGCGGCCCTGGCTTTGGCGGTCGAGTAGGCGCGCGACGTGTATTGGTTCTCGGTTCGCCCCTCGCAGTCGGCCACCTTCAGAAGGTCGCTGAAGTCGACCTTGCCTGAGGGACGGGCGGGGCGCTGGGGGGAGAGGAGCGCCAAGGACTGGAGGGGAACGATCTGTTGTGAGGAGGGCGAACAGGAGGAGGAGGAGGAGGAGGAGAAGGAGGAGAAGGAGGATAAGGAGGGGGAGGAAGAGGGGGGAGGCGGGGGAGGAGGAGAAGGAGGGGGAGGAGGAGGGGGGAGGAG